TCAGCTAAATGTCCACCAGCATCAGCCTAAATATGTTGCATCCCCAGTTCCTAATTCCTTAGCCAATAATTTATGTAAACTATGAAAAGCAAACAGGCAGGAAAATTGTGGGAGACACTTCCAACATTTCCAACAAGCATCAAGTCGACATTCATCATTTCTTGACACTTTCACTATCGACTCATGGCTTCAGTCTGAAGTTTTCACACATACTTCAGCACAATTAACAGAATATCAACAAGTAATTATAATATTATATTTATTGACTGACTTAACTTCACTGCGATAAACACTTTGAGGCATCATCTTTAAAACTCAAGAGAAACTTGCCTTAAAAGCCATTCAGGTCTCTTTAAATTCTTCTGACCGTACATGCGTCTCACCTTTAACATCCTAACACGGGAGAGATGTGAACACAACTGTGCTCCTGCCCAGAAGGGAAAAAACCCTCAAAAAACCATTGAATTTAATGTGTTTTCTCCACTATATTTCATTTTAATCACAGCTGAAGTTATAACAACATTTAGAGTGGGGCCGAGCGCTGTGCTGACTTTGGGAGGGGTCTGTAATTGGACCTCAGTGTGAGTCACAGTGTAAAAGTTCGGGGTCTCAGCAATAAGGAAGACCTCCATGGCTGAGAGTGAATTAGTAACCAGGTCAAAACCAGATGCAAGAAAAAGAATTCATGAATCAAAAGGTTCATGTCTGTGTACATCTTCATGCAAATACATGCATATGTGACAAGTGCTTGTTTTTGGCCAGTAGATGGAGTTGGTGACCAACAAAATTAAGCTTGACCTAGTGAAAAAAACACTGCAATGACATTCACACCCACTCAAAGTGCACATGTAGAGGAGTTTGGAGCACATCCCAGTAACACAGGAGATAAGGATCAGAGGCAATGATAAGGTCTATTGAATTACACTAAATTAATAATGCTTCAGATTTAACTTCACCTCTAAAGTGTCTGTGAGGCCAAACATTTAGTCGCCGTCACAAGACTAAAGTAACCAGTGATGATCTCAAAGCCTGTTCCAGGCCTCGCTGGTTTCCAAACACATTACTTCTCTATTAAAACGGTTTGTGTTTCACTTCTCTGTAGCTGAAGTGACAGAGAAGCCAGCTCACTGCTGTTGCTTTAGAGCGCACGTGGCACTAAATCAAAGCACTTATAGCAG